TTTTTTTCTTTTAATAATATCACTTAAATTTAAATAATTTCCAGAACGCAACGAAAAAGATCGAGGTGTGTGTGTGTGTGTGTGTATATATGTGTAGTGTAGTGTACGAGAATTAGCAAAGAGAAAAAACAATAAATTTGTATAATGACAACGTAACGTATAATCAATATTAATTGTATTCAAATATTTATTCAACTTTTGCCTCTTCTACTGTCCTCTCAACTTCTTCTTCTTCTTTTCTTGTGTTGCTCAATATGTAAATTATGTATACATATAAGATTTTGTTGTTATTATTATTTAAAACTTATACTTAATAAAAACGAAATACAATTGTAAAAATGTTTTGCTTGCTTAAAGAAAATTGTTTTTTTTATGTATTTTATTTTGTTAAACTCATGTCGCATTCCAAAAACATAAAAAACAATGGCCACCATTATGAATTTCATTCAAATCACGGCAAAAACAGTTTCAAAGAAATATTCCACGCTTGCTCCTTCCTAATCAACTTGTATTTTTCATATTTCACTTTTCATTTTATATGTGTTTTTCCATATCATTTTTGTTGCTGCATTCTTGCTCATTTTTAAAAGCTGCTGCTGCGCTTTAGCTCAATTTATTGCCGTTTCCTCCATTGCATTTCCTGTATCATGGTTTCTCTTTTCAAACGAGCCCTGCATTGGCTGCTGCGCTTTATTCGAAAATATATATATATGCACATTCCATATATCAATGATATTTTTTATCCTTTTTTTTTGGGTTTTCTTTTGCTTTGTTTATTTTTTGTTTTTGTTTTTTTTTTGTTTTTTTGTTTTTTTTTTTGTATATTTTATACGTATTCTAGATTGTAGTTTGTACTTCCAATTTGGTTAAGAATTCCTTGTGTATTTTCTTTTTCTCGATTTCCACTCTTTATCTCTCTTACTAACGCTTGCTCCTTTCAGTTGCTTCTCTTTGCAGTTTCACATCTCCCCAGGTCATTTGGGTTCATTTGTGACGTAATTGTTGTTGGTACCGTAATTTGAACAATTCACAATAGTCGCAGTTCTAAATGTTAGTTTTTGTATTTTCATTAATTAAATTAATTGTTTTTGCCGAAATTAAAATTGAATATAAATTTTGAATTCTTCTTGGCTCCAAATTAAATTTTCTTGAACTTCGTAAATCAACTTAGTCTGATGCATATCTGATCTGCTCAACTGTTCCTCTCTCTCTCTCTCTCTCTCTCTACCTGGCTTTCTCACATCCTCTGTCGCTGTCTCTGTCTGTTAAGTTTAACTGTTTTCTTTTGTTTATTGCATTTCGTTTTGTTTTGCCTTTTTTAAAATTTCACTACATTTAAATTAGAGTTGCGTTTTTATATGGTATATGTTACAGTAGCATGGATAGCTTTTGTGTTCTCTTTCTTTCTTAATCTTCTCTTCTTTTTGTTTTGTTTTGGGCTGGGCTGGGCTGGGCTTAGGGACAATTGTTCTATAGATGTGTGTGTGTGTGTGTATGTATGTGTGTACTTAAGTTTTATCTATAATATTTGTTTTATTTTATTTACCAGTAATCTAGCATACGCCTTTCAACTTGAGGGAACTTGACAGGTTCCCATCGTTGTTATACTTAGGTCTGCTTGCATGTGTTTGTATATCTATATGAGTAAGTGTTTTATGTAGTTTGCAGTTTGTTGTTTATGCAGTTGCTTAATTACTTAATACTCTTAGCGATTAACACACACATACAATGTTGTTTAACTGTTATTCTTGAATTTTAATTATACACATAAATTTCACTATTTATATATATGCATATATAATATATATGTATTCTGTTTTCGTATGTATGTATTTGAAATCTGTATTTGAATATGTTTTGGATGTAAAACGTTTCGAATATTTATTTATAATAATTGTTGGTTATTTGTTATTACTTATTTTGATTTGCATTTCCAGTTTTCTTTTTCATATTTTGCATCTGCATGGTTTTATTTTTAGTTTTTGTTTTTTTTTTTTTTTTTTTTTTTTGTAGGAGCAAGAAGAACAAAAAATATACTTAATACTAAGAAAAAATTTACTAATCTTAAAAACTAAAAAAATCAGATTGTATATTTGTTTAA